CAACTAGGGTTCTGTGGAACAGGACTACTGTTAGAAACCACGGGGTCCCATACAGCCAACCCCCCCCCCCTCAAAAAAACAAACAAAAACACAGTGTACTATGCTTCAGTTATGAATGAACTCAGTGAGTGTTCGGTACAGATCACTCATTGTGTTCATTTAGGAAAGGAAGGGTCTGGTAAATGTGACATATTTACTGGAACCTTCCCCCATCCTCCAACCTGAAGAATCCTATTGTGTGCTTGCAGCTGCCAGTGGGAAGAAAAGGAGGGACTCCGGAAGCACTGCGGGGTGGGGCTGATTTCACTAGTTGGGTTTGCAAATTTATTTCTGTGGTCCAGATCTAAGCATGCAATGTTATGCCCCCACACATAACATTCTAAACAAACGTTCTCAAACAGATTTTACTATGTTTCAGTTATGAATGAACACAGTGAGTGATCGGTACCAATCACTCATTGGGGTTGATTTGCTAAAGGCAAAAAGACAGTGAACTTTGTAAAGTGCAGTTATACTCTGTAAGTGCAGTTGCTCCAGAGCTTAGTAAATGTGCAGAAGCTCTGCTGACTTCCATCATCCAAGCATGTGCAAGCAAAATGCTGTTTTTTAAAATTTCCTTGCACGGAATTGGGTATTCTTTGAATATTGAAGCTTTACCTCATTTATTAAGCCCTGGAGCTGAGTGCAACTGCATTTTGCAAAGTTCACAGTAGGGGTGCACCCCAACTTCGGTGGCCGAAACGTTTCGGCCGAAAACATCCCTATTGGCTCTCGGCCGATATGAAAAAAAGCACCCATGCAGGTGCCGAAAAAACCCTGCCCCTCGCCGCCGCCTGCACGCCGCTGCCACCGCCAGCTGCCACTCGGTAGTTCTCAGCCTTACCTGAGAAATCATCGAATGATCCTGTCACTGGGCATAGAGATTAGTGAAGGAAAGATGGCCTCCACTCATCTCTATACCCTTGGAGGACCGGAGCAATGTCACTTCCGGGTCTGGCCTTTTTTTTTTTTTAAACACTAGATCAATTCTTTTTTTGATGTAATGCTTTACATTGTAGAGGAGAGATGTGGGGTCTCCATAAAGAGGACCTGTCACTAATTATTTCTATCACAAGGGATGCATACATTCCTTGTGATAAGAATAAAAGTGATTACATTTTTTTTTAAAGGGACAGTGCAAAAAAAAATTAATTTAAATAAATTTTAAAAAAAAGTTTAAAGTGCCCCCGTTCTCGTACATAGTGGTGAACGCATATGTAGGCCATGCCCACATATGTAAATGGTGTTCAAACCACACACGTGAGGTATGTCGGAGCAAGAGCAATAATTCTCGTACTAGACCTCCTCTGTAACTTTACACTACTAACCTGTAGACATTTTTAAAGCATCACCCATGGAGATTTTTAAGTGCCGCAGTTTGACGCCATTCCACGAGCGTGCTCAATTTTAAAGTGTGACATGTTGGGTATCTATTTACTCGCCGTAACATCCTCTTTCATATTTTACATTAAGATTGGGATACATATTGTGTATTTTAATCAAAGTGTATTTTTTTCCAAAAAATATATATTCATTTTTAAAAGCTGCACATTTCAGTTTTGGTTTTCGGCCAAGTGCATTCCGCACCAGAATTTTCATTTTGGCGCACCACTAGTGCACAATTTATTTGCCTTTAGTAAATTAACCCCATTGTGTTCATTCAGGAAGGGAAGGGGTTGGTAAATGTAACATATTTACTGGACCCTTCACCCACTCTCCATCCTGAAGGATCCTATTGTGTGCTTGCAACTGCCAGTGGGAATGAGAGGAAGGAAGCAGGCAGCACTGTGGGGATGGGGGCACACAGGGGGGCCAGGGCAGCAGGGGAAAACATATGGTTCAAAGGGAGGGTGTTGGGTGCACCAGGTGGGCAATTCATGGAACCGATCCTCTGTATTGCTCTCTCTGCAGCAGCTGAAAGCCAGTGGGCGGAGGAGGAGAAGAAGCCAGCTTTCAGCTGCTGCAGAGAGAGTCATATATAGAATTGGCTTCAGTAAATGTCCCCCTACCATGCCAGTCACACTCACTGCCCACATCTGATTCACCCAGCTGCCTTGGCCCCTCTGCTGGCCTGAGCCCCATACAGGAGATCTGGTGGCACCCCCTTATCTACTGCCCTGCTGTGGAAGCTTAGGGTTCTTCCAGGGGTTTCTTGAGCTGTGGCTGATTGACCTCTGATCTGATGGTGCTAGCTTACTTCCAGGGCCAATGCATGACCTATGCTTCTTTTAGCAAGGGCTTATTCACTTCATTTTCAGGGTTAAAATAGTTGGGGAAGGGGGGACATATCACCTCTTCACCACCTGCCAAGCACCTATCTGACCACCACTGTAACAGAGGCATTTTTCCCATTGACATGAATGTTAGGGTCATTTTCCCTATGGCCCATTTCGAGGTTCCCTGAGACCTGAAAGTTATTTTCAGGGTTCCTCTGGGGTAAAAAGGTTGAAAAGGGTTGTTCTAAAGGTACCTAGACACATATGAAAGCCTGCAAATCCATTTTGGATCTTTATAGTTAGATAACAAAGCATTCATAGGTCTGAAAGCTTTCCCTAATGATCCCTGGCCAAGCCACATGGAGGACAAATTGGTGGATGATGGTTTTTCTTTGCTGCTCAATTCTCCCAAGACAAAACTATGCCTAAATTCCTCCTGCCCCTTTCAGTTAGCACAAAGATACAAGTTTACCCAGTGTAAATGGTCATTTAGTAGACAAGGCTGTACATGCACAGCAAGCTGCCCTCTGTAGCCACCTTAAATGAATTTGCTCTTTGCACTTACTGGGTAAAGCAACAGATGCATTTCACCCTTCAATTGAACCTGTGCCCAGTCTGGGTTAATTCTGACCAGGGGTGGACTGACCATTTGGAAACTCGGGCACTGCCCGAGGGGCCCGGGGTCAGTAGAGGGCCCCATGAGATGCCCCATGGTACCTTTTTCATAGGCTTTTTTGAGTTTGGGCAAGAACACAGGGGCCCCATGATCCCCTATTGCCTGGGGGCCCGATGAGTTGTCAGTTTACCCCTGATTCTGACATTTCTCTCATACATGTGAGAATCAGCTTTTTTTTTTGCTAGAAAATTACTCAGAACCCCCAAACAAGGGGCCCTGGAGAATAAAATGGTTGTTGTTGCAATTTTTTTATGTCTCGCGATATTTGCTCAGCGGTTTATCGAATGCAAATTTTCAGCGAAAATACACTTAAGTTTAGTGTACACAAACACAATATAATACCCATTTTTTTGTAAAGCATAAAAGATGATGTTTTACTGAGTAAATAGATACCCAACATGACACACTTTAAAATTGTGTAAGCCCGTGGAACAGTGCCAACCTGTGTTACCTAAAAATATCCAACCCTTTGAAAGCCTTTACAGGTTACCAGTTTAGCATTACACAGGAGTTCCCACTGCCGTCTCTGAGCCAATGAGGAGGGAGAGAGTATCTACTCTCATGCACATCACTGGACCGACATTAGGCTCAGGTAAGTATTAGGCCCCTTTCATACGGGTGGTTAGATTTCAGCTTTTAGCTGCAGTTAGAGGAACTTATTTACCACAGATAAATGCAGACAATGCATCCCTATGGCTCCATTCACACACTGCATTTAGCAACGATTTCATAACATATGGTTTTATGCATTTAGGAAAAATACAGTTGACAGCATTCAGGAGTGATGTATTGCAGCTCTCTGTACATAAACGCAGTTAATCGCAATACAAATAAAAAAATAGGTAAACAGGCAAGAATTTACTACCGCAGCTAAACGCAGCGACATGTAAATGCACAAAATCGCACATAATAGCAGATAACCTCAATGTACAAACACAAGTGATCTCTGTGCCAGGAGTGTTGGAATTTCAAAATAAAAAAAACATGGGAAGCTGCACACTGCAGGTTTAAAAGAAATACAAGAATTGGTAAAAGTGGTTCTAATGGCTGAAGTTTTTTTTGCCTTCATGCATTCTATGCATGAAGGGAAAAAACTTTCACCCTTTAGAACCAATTTTACAAATTCTCTTTTCATTTTTTTTTTATCCCAGAACATTATATATTTTCTGAATGCAGGGACCCTGTACAGTAAAATGGTAAGATGACAGTTGCAATTTTTTATGTTGCACAGTTTTTGTGCAACTGTTTATTCTATATTTTCTAGAACAAATACAATAATATAAACTTTATTGTGTAAACACAATTTAATCCTCGATTTTCCAGTACAAAATAAAAGGTGAGGCAATGTTGATTAGATAGATACCAAATATGCAAATATGTCAAGCCTCTAAACTACATGTGCCTGCGAAATGTCAAAAAGTTAAAGCACCACAAACTATCAAAAGGTAATGGTTTAAATGCTTTATAGATCATTAGTTTAGAGCAGTGGTTCTCAACCTTCCTAATGCTGCGACCCTTTAATACAGTTCCTCATGTTGTGGTGACCCCCAACCATAAAATTATTTTTGTTGCTACTTCATAACTGTAATTTTGCAGTGGGAGGAGTAGTGCCACATCATTTGTGTCAGTGAGAGTAGTGCCACATCACTGATGTCAGTGGGAGGAATAGTGTCCCATCGTTGGTATCAGTGGGAGGAATAGTGTCCCATCATTGGTATCAGTGGGAGGAATAGTGCCACATTGTTGGTGTCAGTGGGAGGAATAGTGCCGCATCATTGGTGTCAGTGTGGGAGGAATAGTGCCCCATCATTGGTGTCAGTGGGGGGGGGGGGATAGTGCCCCATCATTAATACTAGTGTGGGGGGGAATTGTGCCCCATCATTGGTGTCAGTTGGGGGGGTAGTGCCCCATCGTTGGTGTCAGTGGGGGGAGGAATAGTGCTCTATCGTTGGTGTCAGTGGGGGGAGGAATAGTGCCCCATCGTTGGTGTCAGTGGGAGGAATAGTTCCCCATCGTTGGTGTCAGTGGGGGGGGGAGGAAATAGTGCCCCATCATTGGTGTCAGTGGGGGGAGGAATAGTTCCCCATCGCTGGTGTCAGTGGGGGGGGGGGGAGTAAATAGTGCCCCATCATTGGTGTCAGTGGGAGGAATAGTGCCCCATCATTGGTATTAGTGACACCAATGATGGGGCACTATTCCTCCTACTGACACCAATGATAGTTACCTTGCTGACTCCTGCTCCAACCTGGGCTCGCTCCCTCCCTCTCCCATCTACAGCCAGCATACCTGGCTGCAGCAGCACCATCTGCACGCTACAGACACTTACCTGTCAGCTGTCTTCCTTCTCCGGCCGCTCCCTTGCTCGATCTTCTTTGATCTTCGCGCTGCTGCTCAGCTCATCCTCCTCCTCGCCGGTGATTGGCCACCTGTGTGCCTCTCCTGAGCTACAGTTCCGGCGGCCAATCACTGGCGAGGAGGCGGTGCAGTTGAGTGATCCCAGGGATGTGGCCAGATGACAGGGGCAGCATGTCATCCCACGCACACATTGCGGTCCAGGGAAATGTGGACGTATCTGCATGTGGGCGGACCCGCCTGAAAACTGATAGAGGAGCGGTGTCTCGGTTCCTAAGACCATCGGTAATACATGTTTTCCGATGGTCTTAAGAGACCCCTGTGAAAGGATTGTTCGACCCCCAAAGGGGTCGCGACCCACAGGTTGAGAACCGCTGGTTTAGAGGGACCCTGTAGTATAAAAAGATGGCAGTTGTAATTTTTTATGTTGCATGATTTGTGTGCAACTGTTTATGTAGTCTATATTTTCTAGAACAAATACAATAAAATACACTTTATTGTGCAAAAACAATTTAATCCTCACCTTTTCTGTACAAAATAAGAGATGAGGCAATGTCAAGTAAATAGATACTAAATATTTCAAGCCTCTAAACTGCATGTGCCTGCGAAATGTTAAAAGATTACAGTGACACAAGTTATCAACAGTTTACAGTTTAAATAATTTACATCTCATCAGTGTAGAGTTAACCATCATTGAGGGACAGGGAACTAGAATTATTCTTTTACTCCACTGTGTGAGGTGATGCCTATTATGTGTTGCGCATTTACACATGCATTTGCATTTGTATATGTGTGCGCAGGATGACAGGGGTGCTTTTAATTTTTTTTCTTCATTTTGTTTTGTTGTTTGATTTATTTTATTAAATTATCATATATGTAACACTTTTTTTTACTACTTCAAGTAGTGTTAAACTAGAAAAAAACAAGCAGCTAATCCATGCAGTGGGGGACCTGTGAAGTGTCCCAGAAGACTGCAGGGGGAAGGAGAGGGGCCGAACTTCCGGCTCAGTTCGCTACGGCGAATTGAGCCAGATCTGGGAGTGGGTACCTATCAAAACTGGATCCCCCCCCCCCAAAAAAAAAAAAAAGTGCAAAATGTGGCATTGGAGGGGGGGAGGCAGACAAGCACAACTTCTTCTTTTGGGTGGCGCTCTGCTTTAACTGCTGTCTATGCTTCATTTATGTTTTATGATTGTATACACTGGACTAATATTGATTGTTGCTAATAAAAATCCCTCTCCAACTTAATATTTTATACATAAACAAGTGCATTTGGTTACAGTTTTTAGATTTTCAAGTGTTACTAAACCCACAACAGTAAAATCAGTCTGTGTATGCAGTAAAGCATGCTTGGTATACTCACTGTGGAAACTATGGGGTAAATCCTCTGCATTGTGTAAAATGCAGGATCTGCCTTCTCAGATCTTCCCCTTCTTTTACTGTCCCCAATCCATCTGCTGATAGTACAGAATTCTAGAAGTCACTCTGCACATGCTCAGTTTGCTGTGTATTGCTAGAGAGTTTTTTTTCTTTGGGAGAGTGCATGTGATCAGCACAGGGCTAATAAGCGCTGTCCAGACAAACGATCAGGGGTTATGCAGCCTCACAGGATAATCATAGGAGAATTTTAACCAGTGCTTGGTCGGACACTGATAGAAGTCACAAGCAGAGGCGGACTGACAACTCATGAGGCCCCCGGGCAATGGGGGATCATGGGGCCCCTGTGTCTTTGCCCAAACTCAAAGCACACCCAAAAAAAGCTTATAAAAAGGTACCAGGGGCATTTCATGGGCCCCCTACTGACCCCGTGCCCTCGGGCAGTGCCCGAGTGTTCGAATGGTCAGTCCGCCCCTGGTCACAAGACTGCTATATACTGCTGATGAGAAAAGGTATTTAGCAGTTCATATTTACTAAAATAATTGCATTTCCATGTGTACTGTGTGAGAGCAGATATAGTAAATGCAGGGTCCTGCATTTAATAAATACGGTTTTAACAGCATAACACTAGGAGGAACATTATGTTTTTATATTATTTGAGAACATATGAAGTTCTTATATGGTGTGGAAGTAGAGTTAAATATGGATGGATATAGGGAGGAAAGTTCCAATAAAGTTCAACTGACCTCCTACAGTAAAGTTACACAGCTCTGGTGAGTTCTTAATTAGCACAGGTGGCGGATAATTGCTGGTGTTGGAAGAGCACAAACAGAGGTAGCAGAAGATAAGAAGGATACATTTTTAAACACTTTGTTATATTTATGAAATGTGATTGATTTGGACACAAAGTCTTTATGGTTTGCACAATAACTATGTTTTGATACAAGTATTGTATTTAACCACTTCAATACCAGACACTTTCACCCCTTTCCTGCCCAGGTCTAATTTCAACTTTCAGCGCTGTCACACTTTAAATGACCATTATTCGGTAATGCAACACTGCACCCAAGTTAGATTTTTATAATTTTTTTGAGACAGATAGAGCTTTCTTTTGTTGATATTTAAACACCACAGGGTTTTTAAAAATATTTTTTTTGCTGTATGAGGAAAAAAATACCAAAATTTTTTTTTCTTTGTTTCTGTCATAAAATTATTCAAAGAAATCATCTTACTTCATACATTTAGGCTAAAATTTGTTGGTAAAAATACCCAAATCGATCAATCCCGATGTACTGATTGACTTTCTTATGTCTTGAGGCCCTAAAATGTAAGGCCAGTACAAATACTTCCCAAATTACCACTTTTTGGAAAGTAGATAGTTTGAGGTATTTAGTAAGAGGCATGGGGAGTTTATTTAAGTTGTAATTTTTGTTTAAATTTTTGGAAAATGGAGAATTTAAATAAAATCTTTCTTTTCACATTTTTTTTTACATAGTGTCACCAGAATAGTACAGCGTCATCAAATGACTGGTGTGACAGTAAGCAGAAATACTAACTGGTGACAGCATGTATGTTTTTTTTCTTTTTTTTACAACTTTTTTTTTTTTACATACTGTGACCAGAGCAGTGCAGTGTCACCATAGGGACACTGTACTTTTCTTTTTACACTATAATTTCTTGTAACACGGATGATCATTGTTATAAGTAATCATTTTTATGAATGTCATACATTCGTTAACAGCCATTCATTAAGTAATATTGCAATTAGCTGTGATTGGCCACACCTATCAGATGGTACAGGTGGACTGTGATTAGCCCTGTCTGTACCAGGTGATCACTGTGATCAATCACAGAGATAATTACAATAATGCATAATGAATGGCTATGAATGAAAGCCATTCATTGTGTACAACTGTCATGTAATTGCTGTGATTGGTCTCAGCAATCACATAATGCCAGGACTGGCCCGGTACAATCATCTGTCATCCACTACGTCCAGTGGACACAGTGGGTGGCAGTTCGCTCTGCAGCACAGCCACTAGGACTCAAGAGGTGCGTGACTGGGAGAACATCATATGATGTCCACCCAACATGGGAGAGCTCCCTCTCGGCAGTCATTTTACAATAGGCAGCACAGGAAGCAGTTAATATAATAGCTGCACTGTTAGTCTATGGAAATATTAATAGTCCATTTGCTTGGAGACGGGAGGGGGAAGGAGGAGGCGGGAGCAGAGAGGTGTTTTGATATTCTAGGCTGTGGGGATGCGTGTTTCTATTGAGGTACAAAGTGTGGGGAGACACAGTTCTAGACCCTGAATTCAAGGGTGTCATCATAGGACACTGCAAAAGAAAGGAGCCACCCTGCAACAGGAAACATGGGGCAGCAGTTGTGACACTAGCTTAAGCAGGAAAATGGAAATGGATTAAAAGGTGATAAAGCTGCGAACTTAGCTTCTGAAAGTGCCTAAAAAAATGAGGGTTTAATATAACTTTAAATGTATTGCTTTCACATTGGGGTTAACATGCTTCCTGTGTGATAGCATTGGGCAGGTGACAGGTACTCTTCATGGTGACATCAGAGGTCTATTAGACCCCTAACATCTCCCCTGTCCCTTTGCTCTAGTGGGTCAAGCACAGGATTGTTCGGATGGGATTTCAACAGCTTTTAGTCCCAAAATGCTCAGAGCTAAGTGCTTCTGGATTCACAATTAACAGAGGAGATATGGGAAGGGATGTTCACCAATCTCCTCCTGATCTAGATATTGACACTGCTTGTTGTGGTGCTGGACTCCTGGGAGGAGAGAAGAGCCCAGGAACCACGGGGGTGGTTTCATCTGTGATTAACCTCCCTGGCGGTATGATTATTTCAGATTTTTGGTGCTGAAAGCGGTACCATTTTTTTGCATGGAAATATGTATTTTTTTTATTGTAGGCCTGTAATTTAGGAATAACTCCCTGAAATCTATCCGAACAAGAGTCTAGTAAACATTCCGGATGTGATAAAACTTGAAACACAAAATCATAAATTATAATTTAATAAATACTCATAAAAAATAATAATATAATAATAATAATAAATTTAATTCAATAATATAATCAAACCAAAAACACTGAAATTTGAAATATAGCTCCAAGTTCGCACATCACTGAGCAAAGTCGCAAAATCGTTTTCAGTGTCTGATGACGAATTTCCCCCATGAATCATTATCACTCAATTCTGCAAGTAGTTCTGATTTACTATCGCTGTTCTCTAGTCGGTCTAAAATTGCTTTTGACCTAAAGGGGCGCTTTTTGGACGCCGTGGACTTTTCTAAGTTTCCAGGCAGAAAGAACAGTCAAAATGCAGGCAGGGCACAGGACAAAGCAGTAGGGACAAAATGTATGTGAAATGCCTTGATACAGGAATGTTTTGCTATGAAATAATCGTTTTAAAAAAAATTTAATTTTTTTTAAATTTTCAAATTTGCCGCCGGTTCCGGCGCCCGTATGTCCCGACGTCACAAGGACCGGAACACGGAAGCCAGATGCCGGCATCGGCCGGAGGAGATGGCCGGGGACGCTGCAGGGGACGCATCGCGGGAGCGAAGGACAAGGTAAGCGCTCTAGGGAATCCCTGTGCAACGCCGCATGGTAAGCCCGAGTGTAGCTCGGGGTTACCGCTTTTGGTACTGAAACTTTACCCCGAGCTACACTCGGGAAAATCGCCAAGGAGGTTAAGTGATCAGGTGCCTCTTCATTAAACTACTTTTACAGTAAAGCCAAAAGCAACTGCACTAAACAGAAAGAAGTTAATGGTTGCTACTGCAAACCCAGAATATACCAGACATGTCCAAAGAACATAAGAGGTTTCATTAGGCCTTTTTCACACTGACAGTCTAATCGGGTCTACCTGTCAGTTTTTCAGGTGGACCTGATTGGACCATACATAGACCTCTATGGACCGGCGGGTGTCAGCGTACAAGTGTCTACTGACACCTGCCAGCATCCAATCCATTCCTGTATGCCAAAAATAGAGAGATGGGGATCCGTTCCCTACACATCTGGTGGAAACGGACCACCCGAGAGGAAAAAGCAGGCTGTGTCTGCTCTGCAGCAGCAGAGCAGACACAGACCTGTCATCTGCTTGCTTAGCGGGGATCAGTGGAGAGATCCTTTGCTGAGCAAATGGATCCGCTAGCAGGTCCACCCCATCTGAAAGGGGCCATATAAATATGGTTTGCAAAACAGTTTCATAATATCAATGCTTAATGACAGGTCTCCTGTCAGACTTTTTTTCTTTCTTTGTCCCTCTGGGGAGATTTCCCTTCAATTGCTGTCTCAGAGGCACAACAGGAAGTTAGAGAAAATCTCTTCAAAGTAAGGAGACATTCTCTATAAGACAGTTGGCACTCAAATAATTATCTCTATTGGATAATTTTCCTTTACTCCTGTTCTAGTGTTGTGGACGTAACGTTCTGTCCTGATGACAAGGGTCATCATGAGAAACAGGGAGGCACAATCTACCCAGCAGTGACACAAATAATAATAAAAACAAAGATAATAAAAACTTGTCTAACACTCTCTCCAAAACTAAAGAAAAATAACAATTTTGACTTTAAATATACCTCACTTAAATGTTACTTGAACTTCTATCATCTTAAGCTTTGGTGGGTGGTAAATCCTAGAGCCAAAGACTAGGCACAGAAAACTTTCCTGTAAGGCACAGATAAAGGCTATAATATTATTGTCTGACCACACTCCTATTTAAATAGCATTTACATTGCCAGAATCACTGTTAAAAATGTCCAATCCTAACATAAGATCTTTCCCAGGTCCACTACGGGAGTTGCATGGTTTAACGCCTCATCCATCCATACATTAATTTATCAATCCACCCCACAGATTTTGATACTGTCTATTACTGATCTGTGGCCAAATTGGCTAATACTGTGAGGAGCGCTGTGTTCATTGTGCACATCACTTTTAGTACAGACACTGACTGCCAATGTAAGATATACACTTACTCAAGGGGGGCACAGACACTGGCCATCAAGGTATGGAAGCACAGATACTGACCACCAATGTATAGAGGCACAGACATTGACCACCAATGTGAGGGAGGTACAGACCACCAATATATGGAGGCAAAGACTATGACCAACAGGTCATTTTTCTTCCTGTTAATCACCAATGCCAATTAATTTTTTTCTCTCATTGACCACCAACGCTGGCTTTTTTTTCCCACTGATCACTGATACTGGGTATTTGTACTCCCCCTGACCTCCAAACTGTGTAATGTTTCCTACCTCTGACCACTGATGCCAGACATTTTTCCTCCCTCAACCTAAAATATCTATATAATATATATATATATATATATATATATATATACACACACACACACAACAGTGACCAGTGGGTAGTTATAACATGATTCGGAATACAAACACCCCTTTTCTGATTCTTTGTAGCCTAAAATATTTGGATGAAAAATGAACAAAAGTCTATATTAAATAGTGAATTGTCCAATAACATTATTGCACTTAGACCTAGTCAAAACCATGGCAGAATGACCATGCAAAAGTCTGCATTCTCAATTATTTCATAGCTAAATATTTGCTTGTACAAGACACTGTTGACTGTTGTTTGAATTGGTTAACACTGGTTCTTGATACAATACATCCTTGAGTGTTTGACGTTTCCTGCCATTTCATTATGGTGGACTTGCTCCCTTTGGTGGAATCAGTAAGTGGAGCTGCTATAGTGGCAAAGTCTGACACAAACCTCTGAGTTTGCTACTATAGCAGCTCCACTTACTGATTAACCCAATATAAGAACCCTCTAAAGAACCCAAGAAGATCTAAGAACCCAACTACATTAAGGGAAAATAGAGACAGAAGTACAACAGAAGATAACCCAAAAAAGAGGAGAGTTTTTGGTATGGTAGCAAAAGTGAGATATCAGTGGAATAGACCTGGAAAATACCTGATGAGAAGATTGAGGAAAAGGAAATTGAGAAACTATATAGAGAAAATCAGAGATAAAATTGAGAAATGGTTTATTCAACCACTGCTATTGCTAGAACCTTTAACAATATTATAATATAATATTATAGTATTATAGTATAATATTAATATTTAAAAAATGTTATAGTATATGACATAAAATCTATGAATTTAAAAGAATCAGAGGGAGAAAAAAGGGAAAAAAGACAGGCATATTTAAAAGAGGCTGGACTGCCTAGACTAGAAGAAGGAAGATTAGCAGTTTTAGATAAATCAATATTGCAGGAGGAAATCTATATGACGTTAAAGAGTACAACTGCAGGAAGGAGCCCTGGACCTGACGGATATACATTGAGATATTATAGGAAATTTAAAGAACAACTTGTGCCTAAAGATGTATATATACATGAATGCATTAGAAGAGGGAATGGAAATGAGAAACGAGTCATTAAAAGCACATATTACAATCATACATAATAGGAAAGATCTGTCCCAATGTGCAAGTTAAAGACCTACAGTATATCGCGTATTGAATATAGATACAAATATATATGCAAAGGTATTAGCAAATAGGATGAAAGAGTTTATGTCAGAGTGGATTCATTTAGATCAAGTTGGGTTTGTCCCAGGGAGGGAAGGTAGGGACTAGAGATGAGCGAAGTATTCAAAAATTCGATTCGGCTGATTCGGCGAATTTGAGGAATAAATTCGATTCAAGGCGAATATATTCGCTAAGAATTTAACTTATAAAAAGGTGTTTCTAGGCTTCAGAGAGCCTTTATATTAGTGCAGAACACTGTACCTTTAATTTAAATGCCCTTGGAGTCTGCTGGGGAAGAGAAATAATACTGTCAGTCAGTATGACATGCAGATGAGTGCCGTCGATCTTAGAATCACCGCACACTTCACTCATTTGGGCAGTCACGGGGCCAAAACCAGAGTGTGGAGCCACAGTGTGGCGGTGGAGGCAGCAGCAATGGGAGGCCATACAGCACCCTATGACAAAATGGAACCCACCAGCAGTGTGAGGAGACCTGAAAGTGGCACATGGCAGAGTGTGGCGATGGAGACAGCAGCAATGGGAGGCCGTACAGGGACCCATGAGACACTCTGGACCTGGCAGCAGCATGAGGAGGCGGTACGGGGGCCCATGGCAGATTACGGGCCTGGCAGCAGCAATGGGAGGCCCGTAATCTGCCAGCACCCTATGACAAAATGGAACCCACCAGCAGTGTGAGGAGACCTGAAAGTGGCACATGGCAGAGTGTGGCGATGGAGACAGCAGCAATGGGAGGCCGTACAGGGACCCATGAGACACTCTGGACCTGGCAGCAGCATGAGGAGGCGGTACGGGGGCCCATGGCAGATTACGGGCCTGGCAGCAGCAATGGGAGGCCCGTAATCTGCCAGCACCCTATGACAAAATGGAACCCACCAGCAGTGTGAGGAGACCTGAAAGTGGCACATGGCAGAGTGTGGCGATGGAGACAGCAGCAATGGGAGGCTGTACAGGGACCCATGAGACACTCTGGACCTGGCAGCAGCATGAGGAGGCGGTACGGGGGCCCATGGCAGATTAGGGGCCTGGCAGCAGCAATGGGAGGCCCGTAATCTGCCAGCACCCTATGACAAAATGGAACCCACCAGCAGTGTGAGGAGACCTGAAAGTGGCACATGGCAGAGTGTGGTGATGGAGACAGCAGCAATGGGAGGCCGTACAGGGACCCATGAGACACTCTGGACCTGGCAGCAGCATGAGGAGGCGGTACGGGGCTCATGGCAGATTACGGGCCTGGCAGCAGCAATGGGAGGCCGTAATCTGCCAGCACCCTATGACAAAATGGAACCCACCAGCAGTGTGAGGAGACCTGAAAGTGGCACATGGCAGAGTGTGGCGATGGAGACAGCAGCAATGGGAGGCCGTACAGGGACCCATGAGAGACTCTGGACCTGGCAGCAGCATGAGGAGGCGGTACGGGGGCCCATGGCAGATTGCGGGCCTGGCAGCAGCAATGGGAGGCCCGTAATCTGCCAGCACCCTATGACAAAATGGAACCCACCAGCAGTGTGAGGAGACCTGAAAGTGGCACATGGCAGAGTGTGGCGATGGAGACAGCAGCAATGGGAGGCCGTACAGGGACCCATGAGAGACTCTGGACCTGGCAGCAGCATGAGGAGGCGGTACGGGGGCCCATGGCAGATTATGGGCCTGGCAGCAGCAATGGGAGGCCCGTAATCTGCCAGCACCCTATGACAAAATGGAACACACCAGCAGTGTGAGGAGACCTGAAAGTGGCACATGGCAGAGTGTGGCGATGGAGACAGCAGCAATGGGAGGCCGTACAGGGACCCATGAGAGACTCTGGACCTGGCAGCAGCATGAGGAGGCGGTACGGGGGCCCATGGCAGATTACGGGCCTGGCAGCAGCAATGGGAGGCCCGTAATCTGCCAGCACCCTATGACAAAATGGAACACACCAGCAGTGTGAGGAGACCTGAAAGTGGCACATGGCAGAGTGTGGCGATGGAGACAGCAGCAATGGGAGGCCGTACAGGGACCCATGAGAGACTCTGGACCTGGCAGCAGCATGAGGAGGCGGTACGGGGGCCCATGGCAGATTACGGGCCTGGCAGCAGCAATGGGAGGCCCGTAATCTGCCAGCACTCTATGACAAAATGGAACACACCAGCAGTGTGAGGAGACCTGAAAGTGGCACATGGCAGAGTGTGGCGATGGAGACAGCAGCAATGGGAGGCCGTACAGGGACCCATGAGAGACTCTGGACCTGGCAGCAGCATGAGGAGGCGGTACGGGGGCCCATTGCAGATTACGGGCCTGGCAGCAGCAATGGGAGGCCCGTAATCTGCCAGCACCCTATGACAAAATGGAACACACCAGCAGTGTGAGGAGACCTGAAAGTGGCACATGGCAGAGTGTGGCGATGGAGACAGCAGCAATGGGAGGCCGTACAGGGACCCATGAGAGACTCTGGACCTGGCAGCAGCATGAGGAGGCGGTACGGGGGCCCATGGCAGATTACGGGCCTGGCAGCAGCAATGGGAGGCCCGTAATCTGCCAGCCCCCTATGACAAAATGGAACCCACCAGCAGTGTGAGGAGACCTGAAAGTGGCACATGGCAGAGTGTGGCGATGGAGACAGCAGCAATGGGAGGCCGTACAGGGACCCATGAGAGACTCTGGACCTGGCAGCAGCATGAGGAGGCGGTACGGGGGCCCATGGCAGATTACGGGCCTGGCAGCAGCAATGGGAGGCCCGTAATCTGCCAGCACCCTATGACAAAATGGAACCCACCAGCAGTGTGAGGAGACCTGAAAGTGGCACATGGCAGAGTGTGGCGATGGAGACAGCAGCAATGGGAGGCCGTACAGGGACCCATGACACACTCTGGACCTGGCAGCAGCATGAGGAGGCAGGCATAACCGCCGTATCTTTATCACGGTTTTCCCAGGCCACCAAATGGCGACGCTGCATATGCTGACGCAACGCTGTAGTCCCAACATGGGCCCCCTGGCCACGCTTGACTTTCTGGCCACATAGTCGACATACGGCTACGTTTACTTCCTCGGGCGGCTTGACAAAAAATTGCCACACCGCCGAGTAGGAAACTTTGCCCCCGCTACTCCTCACTGGCTGACTGCTACTTCCTCCGTGCACACCGGCACCACTACTGGCCGTGGTGGTAGGCTGCAGTGGAGCTGGTGCTGTACTCCGTGGCCGTTTGCCTCCACTGACACTGCTGCGACCCTGCTGCCTCCTGGGCAACCCACCGACTGTTTTGCTCGCTGCCAAGCTGGCACCCTCTTCTCCTGATGATGCGGAAGCAATAGCCTGATGACGACGAGGCTGCCAAGTGCGATCAGCCTCATCATCATCAATTAGGGTCTCCGCCTCACTACTAGCCCCCTCGGCTGCGTGTGGGTCAGGAGACAGACCTGTCTCTAGACCGGCTACCGAGCCACTCTCCTCACCAGTACTTCTTCGCCTGGCTGCTGAAGAGGCGGATGTCTCCCCCCGTTCCTGACCGCCCTCTGTTAGCTCTTCCTCACTGTACAGTGGGGCTGAGCCCACAGCATGCGATACTTTGCTTGGTGAGGGAACACCAAAGGACAGGGGCAGGTAGAGGACACGTGATTTCAGTGGGCTTGCTCCCGGGCCATGCCAACTAACGGTTGTGTCTGACGTACCCACCGACCGTTGGCTGTAGGTGTCAGAGGTGACCTGGGAAGAGGAAGACGACCGAGCCAACCAATCGATGACGGCAGGGTTGTCGGTGGAGACACGACCGCTGGATGACACCGGGAGCACTGGCCTCTGGCTGCGACTAGTGCTGCCTCGACCCCTTCCTCTGCTGCCACGTCTGCTCGCTCCTAAAACATTGCCTCCTCTGCCACTCCTCTGCGTGTTGTCTGACATACTCTTTAATTCAACGATTCTGTGTCCCTGAGTAACAATTCTGTGTCCCTCAGTAACAATTCTGTGTCTGTCCATGAGTAACAATTCTGTGTCCCTGAGTAACAATTCTGTGTCCCTCAGTAACAATTCTGTGTCCCACAGTAACAATTCTGTGTCCCTGAGTAACTATTCTGTGTCCCTCAGTAACAATTCTGTGTCCCTCAGTAACAATTCTGTGTCCCTCAGTAACAATTCTGTGTCTGTCCCTGAGTAACAATTCTGTGTCCCTCAGTAACAATTCTGTGTCCCTGAGTAACAATTCTGTGTCTCTGAGTAACAATTCTGTGTCCCTCAGTAACAATTCTGTGTCCCTCAGTAACAATTCTGTGTCCCTCAGTAACAATTCTGTGTCTGTCCCTGAGTAACAATTCTGTGTCCCTCAGTAACAATTCTGTGTCCCTCAGTAACAATTCTGTGTCCCTCAGTAACAATTCTGTGTCTGTCCCTGATTAACAATTCTGTGTCCCTGAGTACCAATTCTGTGTCCCTGAGTAACAATTCTGTGTCCCTCAGTAACAATTCTGTGTCCCTCAGTAACAATTCTGTTTCCCTCAGTAACAATTCTGTGTCCCTCAGTAACAATTCTGTGTCCGTCCCTGAGTAACAATTCTGTGTCCCTCAGTAACAATTCTGTGTCCCTCAGTAACAATTCTGTGTCTGTCCCTGAGTAACAATTCTGTGTCCCTGAGTAACAATTCTGTGTCCCTGAGTAACAATTCCGTGTCCCTCAGTAACAATTCTGTGTCCCTCAGTAACAATTCTGTGTCTGTCCCTAAGTAACAATGCTGTGTCTCTGAGTAACAATTCTGTGTCCCTGAGTAACAATTATGTGTCCCTCAGTAACAATTCTATGTCCCTGAGTAACAATTCTGTGTCCCTCAGTAACAATTCTGTGTCTGTCCCTGAATAACAATTCTGTGTCCCTCAGTAACAATTCTGTGTCCCTCAGTAACAATTCTGTGTCTGTCCCTGAGTAACAATTCTGTGTCCCTGAGTAACAATTCTGTGTCCCTGAGTAACAATTCTGTGTCTTTCAGTAACAATTCTGTGTCCCTCAGTAACAATTCTGTGTCTGTCCATGAGTAACAATTCTGTGTCCCTGAGTAACAATTCTGTGTCCCTCAGTAACAATTCTGTGTCCCACAGTAACAATTCTGTGTCCCTGAGTAACTATTCTGTGTCCCTCAGTAAAAATTCTGTGTCCCTCAGTAACAATTCTGTGTCCCTCAGTAACAATTCTGTGTCTGTCCCTGAGTAACAATTCTGTGTCCCTCAGTAACAATTCTGTGTCCCTGAGTAACAATTCTGTGTCTCTGAGTAACAATTCTGTGTCCCTCAGTAACAATTCTGTGTCCCTCAGTAACAATTCTGTGTCCCTCAGTAACAATTCTGTGTCTGTCCCTGAGTAACAATTCTGTGTCCCTCAGTAACAATTCTGTGTCCCTCAGTAACAATTCTGTGTCCCTCAGTAACAATTCTGTGTCTGTCCCTGATTAACAATTCTGTGTCCCTGAGTACCAATTCTGTGTCCCTGAGTAACAATTCTGTGTCCCCTCAGTAACAATTCTGTGTCCCTCAGTAACAATTCTGTTTCCCTCAGTAACAATTCTGTGTCCCTCAGTAACAATTCTGTGTCCGTCCCTGAGTAACAATTCTGTGTCCAGTCAGTAACAATTCTGTGTCCCTCAGTAACAATTCTGTGTCCCTGAGTAACAATTCTGTGTCCCTGAGTAACAATTCCGTGTCCCTCAGTAACAATTCTGTGTCCCTCAGTAACAATTCTGTGTCTGTCCCTGAGTAACAATTCTGTGTCTCTGAGTAACAATTCTGTGTCCCTGAGTAACAATTATGTGTCCCTCAGTAACAATTCTATGTCCCTGAGTAACAATTCTGTGTCCCTCAGTAACAATTCTGTGTCTGTCCCTGAATAACAATTCTGTGTCCCTCAGTAACAATTCTGTGTCCCTCAGTAACAATTCTGTGTCCCTCAGTAACAATTCTGTGTCTGTCCATGAGTAACAATTCTGTGTCCCTGAGTAACAATTCTGTGTCCCTCAGTAACAATTCTGTGTCCCACAGTAACAATTCTGTGTCC